TATATATATATATATATATATATATATATATATATATATATATTCTTATTAGACTATGCTTAGTCTCATAAGGATTTATACCAGAAGATGAATATATATATATATATACTGTGCTTTCCACTGCTAGAAAAAGAAAGAGCCCAACGAATTATAGCACTAGTATATTTACTAGATTTTAACTATCCCAAAGAAAAAACAAAACAATTGGTAAATTAGTATCTTGGTATGCCAGAACCTAACAGATATTACTAGGGAAACATTTTACTTTTTGGATAATTTAGTAAACAGTAATTGTTTTTCATTTTACAAAGGTGTTTAGTAAAATGTTTGAAGAAATAATGCTAATTCAGGTTAAAACTGATGAATACAAAATCCCAAAGTGCCACTTAATCATTCTTTTTCTTCGATGTGACTTAAATACATTATGCATTTTTAATTTAAGTAAATAAAAAAATATATTGACTGTTCATGTTGTAAGGCTTTTATGTTGAAATTTTTATTAAAACAGGTTTTAATGTTGTTATATTTATGTATAGTTTATTGTGTTTATTAGAATTAAATAGAATTAAAATGATGTTATAAAGTGCTATTATTTTTAAAATTACTAAATTTTCCGTAGCATTTATTTTCAAAGAAACTTCCAAAGATTATTAAAAGTAAATTACAAAAATGCAGGACAGATAAATAGCCACAAGCTATGACTATGAGCATCGATCATTTTGTCGTATTTGTATGTTTTTTAAAAATGATGCTTTCTTTACTTTGCATTATTTTCCAAAAATAGCATTTTATATCTATCTCTTTATTAGAAAATCATTTCTATTAAAAAGCTAGTGTCTTTAAGTATGGTCTTTATTTTTATGCTATTTGCACTTATACAATACATTTGAATACTCAGTTAACGTAGATTGGCCTTTTATTTATTTTGACAATTTTTCTTTAGTATGTAAGCTATAAAACATCGCAAATATTAAAAACAATTGTGGTGTCTAATTTTCTTCTATCAATTGATTTATATAAGTAATATATGTTATATATGTCATATATATACATAGCACCAACATTATTCTATAAAAAGACACATATACTGAAAGACCTACTTTTCTTTAAAATGTACATATTTTTTAAGTAGAACAGTTCCCCAGAAAATAGCAGGGCACTAAACTTGCCCATGGACCCATTTAGAATCCAGAAATAGCTAAGCCTGGCTAAACTACACTCTGTCTGTGTGTATATATATGTATAAAAAATGCTGAGAGTAATCATGTATCCTAGGTTAGCATACATAAGAGCTATCAGTAATAAATTTTAAATTTTAGAATTTTAAAGCTTGTATTTTACAATATTGATATTGCTTTAGCAGAACATTTTCATGTACGAAAGTCTCCAAATTATTATTTATTCTCATCAGTATTATTATCCTTTACAAAAAAACATATAAACATAAAGCAGTTTCATTCATTGATTGAGCTATATAACTGCAGATATTTTCATCTACTTTAAAATACACACTCACAATGCCATTCTCTCATATATACTTCTATGCTTTCGCATAGTCCTCTTCCTCTAAAGAGAGTGTTCTTCAGTTTTTTTTTCATTTCTTGGCTTATGTTTGTTCGTCTTTTAAAATTTGGCTCATTTTATTCCATTTTTATCATGTGCCTATGCATTCCATCAACAATCATTTATTGGGCAGACAGTATGTTCCAATACACAGAGAATTAAAAAAAAAAAAAACCAGCCTCTACATTCATGAGGTTACAGACTAGTGGAGAGGCAGGCAAGTAAATAATGGTGTGTATTAGGTATAATAGAGGTCTGAGTACTGTGGTGGGGAATAAAGGAGAAACCCTAACCTAACTCTAACCTCATCCCAGTAAATGCAAGTGGAAGCAGCATTCTGCTTTCTATCAGTTGCCTGCGAAGTAAATAATGGTGTGTATTAGGTATAATAGAGGTCTGAGTACTGTGGTGGGGAATAAAGGGGAAACCCTAACCTAACTCTAACCTCATCCCAGTAAATGCAAGTGGAAGCAGCATTCTGCTTTCTATCAGTTGCCTGCATATATAATACATACCCACACCAATTGACACGTTTAAAACAATATGTAGTTTAGTTATAAAACACAAAACTTCATATAATAAAGATAAAATAGTCACCAAATAAAATGTTTGCTACATGAATTTTATTAATTTGGTTCTGTGCTTCTTATAGCAGGTTTAATTCTCACTCAGATTATGGTTTGTTTTTTTCTATTTCATAGTTATGTTTACCAATTGCTACAAGAGTAGGTATCATTTAATGTTATTTCCTGATAACAAACAAGATAATGTCTGCATATCTGTGTTACTGTTATGATATATATGGTATATGCACCAAGGCATACTGGATGAAATCGATATCACTAAATACCAGTGAAATAGCTATTTTGTATGAATTTGAATGGAAATTTAGAAAGTTGCCCATGATCGGATCATAACATATTTTTACAAGAAATAATCTTGTCCAATAAAAGTTTCCTTTGGACTCTTTTTCCCTTAATTTCACCTGATCATTTATTATTTCAGTACCAATTTATGAGGGAGAGTCAGTGCTCTGCTCCCCTAAACTTTCCACATTTCTACTGTGCCCAATATTCTACCTGAAATATTCATCATTCTGCCAGAAAATAAACAGTCAAACCCAGCATAAGATCCAGCAGTTCTCCATTAAAGAGAAACAACATAGTACAAAAAAGAAAATTATTTAACTCAAAGGAATGAAAAATGAATTTTTGACATCTGCCTCTGTACTTTTCTTCCTGGCTTCAAAGTACTTCTGTTCACCTGCAAATTCCCTAGATCGATTCATGACATAAGCTTATCATAGTATACTCTGTGTACTGAGAATATAATGTCTAGATATGTATTCATTATAATAGAATACCATCACATAAGCTGCAAGTTTGCAGGTCAGCAGGGTGACCTCCTTCATGATTGCTTTCAGGAACCATGGCCAACAAGGTTCTGATTCCAAGGTTGCAGTAATATCTTCATCACAGTCAGCAGAAGAGAGATTGAGCATGGAGGCACACATGTGGGAAGTTTCAGTGGGTCAAGCTTCTAAGTGGCACGTGTCATCTCTGCTCACATTCTGTAGATTAGAACTAAGTCCCATGGCCATAGCTACTTATAAGGGAGTCTGAGAAAGGTGGCCTAGCCCAGGAAGAAGTAAATCAATTATGGTAACCAGCCAGCAATATCTATCACAATCTGATGTTATAAATAGTAATTTTATTTACTGTTGAGTGAATTCACCTAAGACACATTGTTTTCACAGTGCTTTTGATTAAACAAAGACATAGTTCAATAAACAAAAGTTACTTTTCTTCTGAAATTCAATAGTTGTCTCATCTATTATAAGAACAGAAACTATTTCGTAGGCAATTAGTGTAGAAAAATTTTCATTTTTGTTTTTCTTTACTAGGACGGACTTATAATGATCTGAACCAATATCCCGTATTTCCATGGGTGTTAACAAACTATGAATCAGAAGAACTGGACTTGACTCTTCCAGGAAACTTCAGGGATCTATCAAAGGTAACTTTTAAACATATAGAAGTCAGTTTTCTTCATAAGGCTGTATTCTAAAAGCACTTCTACCAGAATATATATATATCTAATTAATGTCTGTAAGAAATTAAACCTGTTTATCTTCTGCTTTTGTAATTGGTATCTAAATCTCATTAATTCTCAGCACAGGAATTAAGCTACAAGAAGATAAATTAGTACTAGAATAGGCAAAATGAAGTGGGTATTTGAGACAGAGCAGATGTAGGGAAAGGTTGCTCAGACACCCTAAGCTTTAAAGATCAAAATAAGAAACCTAAAATTAGTACAGAATAAGATGGAAAATCATTTCTGTGATATATTTCTTAGATGATAAGGCATATTATCTTGGCCATAAAATACACACCCACTGTAGAACAGCTTAATACCAAAAAGAAAGTTGGGTAAGTTTATCAAAGGTCTGTTCAGATACAAGAAAGAAGATGTGACCCAAAAAATGGTAAAAAAAAAAAAAAAAAAAAAAAAAAAAAAAAAAAAAAAAAAAAAAGAGATGTATAATGGGGATAAGAAATTGGTTAGTTCATCCTATCTGTCAAGAGAAAACTTAAGTGGGATACTAAACTATTTGAAATGCAGTGAAAAATTGGGAACTGAGCTCTAAGCTTATGTCAGAGCCTGGTGCTAAAGTTTAGGTATTTCAGCCATAGTAAAGCCTCGATATTCACTTCAAATTTCTTTCTCTTTTCCTGTCAAACTTGGTTGTCTGGTTTAGCAATCCACAAGGTTAGAAGGTATATGTGTATATGTTTGCTCTGGGGGGAGGCAGCTTTAATAGGCTCATGGACAAGGGCAGCATAAGCCCTGTGAATCAGGGAAACATCACTGAAGCCAATTTAAAAGTAATTCCATGGATGATTTTTAGCCCAGCATGCTTTCTCCTGCCTCTTTTCTTGCCATTGAAAGCTAGACCTACCCAAGTCGAATTTCTAGATTCCACTACTTACTAGCTGTGTGACTTAAAGCCAGTTTCTCTTAGCCTGCTTGTAATATGGGAATACTATCCTATCTCATACAGTTAAAAAAAAATGACTTGTACATTTATAGAATGTAACGTAATACTTGGCACATGGAAGCACTTCATGAATATTAGCTATTATTACACATAGAATATTTCTTAGCCTGTTTATTAATTTTCCCATATTCTTATGTGTCATTCACTCTCTAATTCTTTTATTTTATGTGACTTCCTTATCAAATCTTAGTTGTTAGCTCAGTACTAGTATTAGTTATGGTATTATAGGTGCTAAAGGGACCTAAGAGATTAGTAAGCCACCATCTTACTGAGAGTCACACAGCTGGTTAAAAAAAAAAAAAAAAAGATGCTTGCCTGGATGTGGGCAGGGATATGGCCTTGGACCTGGGCACCCATCTCAGGACTCCAGGGCATCTCAGCTCACTCTGGATGACTTGTAAGAAAATAAAATGTATTGCTTACAGTTTCAGAGGCTGGGAAGTCCAAAGTCCAGGGAACACATCTGGTGAGGGTTTTCTTTGGTGGTGGCTTTACAGCAAAGCAGGGGTCTCACACAGCAGGAAATGGTGGAGCAGAGACAGATAGCTCACTCCTCGTAGGCTCTGCTCTTAAAGCCCTCAAAACCGTGCCCACAACCACCTCTAAACCATCAACTTAATTACCTCTTCAAGGCCCCACTTTTCAATTACTATAATAGAATTTCCCACCCTCTTAACACTGTCATAGTGGGGATTAAGCTTTGGGAGGACATTCAACCCAAGGCACTGTGGAGCTTTCGACAAGGTTACTTAATTTCTCTTTGCCTCGATTTTCTCCCCCATATAATGGGGATAATA